CACAATGTACTTTTGTTCATTTATACAGTAATCCTCATGTTCTGAGCTATTGCATGGGCAAGTGTAGTCTCCACCCAGTCCACATTCTTTTTTAAGAAGTTGGGGAAGGAAACTTCACAATTGTAGGTCTAAAAAAGGGGGGGGGATATAACCACAGCGAAGGTTCACAGGAATGCCCACTCCTAAATGCCACTAAATCAAACATGAAGGAATCTGATAGTTCCCATCCCATGTGTAAATAAGTACCTTTATTCATTTCTAGGCAAACTGGGAGCTCTGAAGATTATTGCTACCCGACTCCTAAAACCTCTGTTTCTACACACTTCAAAGATGGTCTCATGGGGAATGGCCCGAAGTAGTTTGGCATCATGTGATAAACTCCATGGGACTCTGTCTTTAAAAGATTTTTAAAGTGTGTAGAAATGCAGGGTCTGAATCCTATGTCATTCTCCCCATAGCTAACCTACCAAACAGGGTGTTTCTGAGGGGCAAAACATGTGATAAGACCTTATTTCTAACATGCCTTTTGTACAGACTAGGAAAGATGTTAAAATAACACACAAGCACTAACAGGGTCCTGTGTACATTTTATCTCAGCAACAGTTCCTCCAAAGATGTATTGCATGTTTGAGTATTAAGCTGACTGGGAGTGAGATATAGTGAAGCAAAATACTGTATCTGTGTGGTAGCTTAGTGCCTTTTTGCAATTTAAATATTAATTGAAAAAGATGGGGTCAGAGGTGAGCTGACACTTGGCTTCTCTTTCTTTCGTCTGTCCGTGGCTTTGATCATCCTACATCTTTCTTTGTGCTTCGTTCTCCAGAGACAATCTCAGGGTCATGGCCTGTTTCCTAGTCAAGAGGTATAAACCTACTGGCTTAAATATTTGAGGCCCACAGTTTCACAGGGGGGCCTTTTTGCTCCATGCTTCCCCCATTTCCCAGAGCAGACTAAACAAAACCAGTGTGAAATCTTATGACTTGATGCTGCTATGGTTATATTTTTAAGCTGTCATCCATTCATTTGTACTTGTGTTTATTCCCCAGATTTACAGCTTTTTCAGGCCCTTTTTTGGGGGGCGGGAAGGGTGGATGGATGTCTGAAGCCTTTTGAGGTGGGGGGAGGCTTGCAGTAAGCAGTGGCCTATGATTAAAGCCTAGTGTTGTTCTTCCCCGCTCTCCATGCCGCTCTTGTGCAGTAGTGTCACACATGGTAGCATTTAGGATCCCCTTCACAGCTGAAGTGTTTCAAACACTAATGAATGGAAGTTTGGTCACATAATGCAGACAAGCTGTAAGGCATGCTTTACTGAATGAGGGACTGCAGTGGCCTGGGAAAGGAAGAGAGTTATAAATTGTGTCAGTTAGCCACCCAGACAAAATGAAGCCATGTGGAAAATCAAATCTATTAAAGTATGAAGACTGTTATAAGCTGGACATTCTTAAAAGGTCTCCTGTTCGCTCGACGGGTAAATGTTTACCTATTTGCCCTAGATCTTTTTCACATGCTGTCTTACAAGATGATGTGCAGCATTTGATAAAAATCACTTCTCGCTTAACAGCTTCCTTTATCAGCAATGTTTATTGTCTCCGGCTTACCACCCATATCCTGAAAGGTACTGTACATTAATTGAATATAGAGTGTAAGAAGGATGGAATGAAACGGCAAGATCACAGGTCACTTCTTATTTAAGGCAAAGGGGAGGGGAAGACCAATGTGGAGAAGGAAACAGAGAGAGAGAAAGCGAGAGAGAGCAAAGCATATTATTATTCTATAATACTTTTACATTTGTTATTTTGTGAGCTTCACACAATTTTTAGGCACTGTATTGTTGTTGCCTACATTTGGTTAAAATCCAAATCATGACAGAGCCGAATAACTATTGCGATGTCATGTATAGTGTGATAGGTTTGGATGTCGTAGGCCAAAGTTCAGATCTGCACCCAGCTGTGAAGCTTGTTGGGTGGCCTTGGATCTGATTTCCAAGCATAACCTGCTTTCCATGATGGTGGGGAAGGAAAACGAGATAAGCACTGTGAAGTACTTTGCATACTGAGGAATCTCAAAGGCATGATTAATAACAAGGGACTCATATTTATTGAATTTTAAGAGAAACGTGTTTGAAAGTTGGAGTGATGTACATAATCATTTTGGCAAGCTGTTTTGTCCATTCAGTTCCTGTCAGAAACATGTATGTGGCCAGAAAATACCTTATGAAGGCAAAGCACACTTAGAGCCCATTCTCTCCACAGAATTAGTGCACTATTACTCAACTTTAACTACCTTGGTTGCATCCTATGGAACCCTGGCCTTTGTGCTTTAGTGAAGCACTGGAGCTCTCTGCTTAGGATCCTAAAAGTAAGTCCTTAAACTACAAATCCCAGAATTGCTTAGAATGAAACCATGACTGTGAAAGTGATATAGTGTTTTGATTGTGCAGTGTGAATGAACTCAAGACTCTTCAATGTGCTTTCCACAACAGCAGTAATCATATTTGATTGCTGTTGTCATTAGAGTCGGAAAAAGAACTATCTCTTTCCTACTTTAGCCATGCACTTTATTTCTGGCCCACCAATTGGTTACTTGACACTTTTGAAAGGTATCTCTTGCCTCAATTCATTTTATTCCGCACCTTCCACTGGCCCCAATCCAGAAGCTCTGCACTGAATTGAGCCTGATCCCAGCTTTGACTGTTATCTCAGCCTTGTTGTTTTAAGATGTTGTGTTTGATTGTGTTTATGTTTATATTTGATTGATTTTAATGCTGTTTTTATTTGTAAAGTGGGCTTGCCCCCCTTGTAAGTTGCCCCGAGTCCCTTCGGGGAGATGGTGGCGGGGTATAAGAATAAAGTTATTATTATTATTATTGTAATTATTATTGAAACTCTAAAGTCCATCTCTCTGCTGCTAGTCCTTATGCTGAAGAGACAGCTAGAGCATAATTTTAATCTGTTTAGGCCAAGATATGAATGAGTTTATGCCTGTGCACCTTTCCTCTTCTATTCATGGCAGGAATGATCAAACTAAGAAACCTCTGATTAGCCACTCTTTCATGTTTTATATGAATTAGGAAATTATGGTCACTCATTTGGAACAGACCAAAATTTTAAACCATATCTTGAAATTAGTATGATAGCCTGGCTTGTCCCAAAGCTGATATGTAGAGTCTCACTTATCCAACATAAACAGGCCGGCAGAACGTTGGATAAGTGAAAATATTGGATAATAAGGAGGGATCAAGGAAAAAATTATTTATTTATTTATTTACTTCATTTATATACCGCTTTTCTCAGCCCTCAGGCGACTCAAAGCGGTTAACAACAGCAAAATTCAATGCAAAAACATCACAAAACGAATATGGGACAGTTAAAAACAGTAGCATAATCAATTATTAAACATCAAGATAACAATCATTAGCGTCTCATCAGTAAAAATCAGAATCCAATCTCATCATCCATTATTCCGTATTCCTATATTCAATTACACTGCTTAATTGAATGCTTGTTCGAACAGCCAGGTCTTCACTTTCCTCCGAAACGCCAACAGGGAGGGAGCCGATCTGATATCTGTAGGAAGGGCGTTCCACAGCCGAGGGGCCACCGCTGAGATGGCCCTGTCTCTCGTCCCCGCCAGGCGCGCCTGTGATGCAGGCAGGATCGAGAGCAGGGCCTCCCCAGATGAACTTAATGTCCTAGTTGGTTCATAGGAGGAGATGCGTTCGGAGAGGTAAGTAGGGCCAGAATCGAAAAAGCCTATTAAGCACCAAAACATCATGTTTTACAACAAATCAACAGAAAAAGCAGTTAAATACATGCTAACGTTATGAAGTAATTACTGTATTTACGAATTTAGCTCCAAAACATTGCAATGTATTGAAACAGCTGTGGATCCGGGTGGGAGGCAGACTGCATTGGATAATACAGAATGTTGGATGAGCGAAGGTTGGATAAGCAAGACTGTATTGTATCTTTGGGGGGGGGGGTTGGATTTTTTTTTTACTTTGGATGAAATGAGAAGGTGTGTTGGCTGGTGCTTTCCCAATTTGTTGTTTTATGCTGTAAAGGAGGAAACAAATAGTGAAAGAGTCCTATGCACTTGAGTCTAACAGGTGTATTTTAGCATGTGCTTTCATGGATTACAATCCACACTCTGAAATGCATTTACAGAGTGCAGTATTCTGATTGTGGGCATAAATACACAGTTACGAAAATTGGATACAAGCCTCGATCATTAACTTTTAGAGGGATATATTGACATAAACATCCTGTATGCTATGATCCCCAAATCCACAGGGAATACCTTTCTAGACATTGTGTGGATATATGAAATCACAATAATAGAGAGCCATATTATTTTAATGGGACAAATGGTGTAGGTACTGAAACAAAGGTGTAACTTGTACAGGAGGCCTTAAGTGAATTACTGGATAAGGGAAATCATCAGTAAGAGAACCTGCATATATCATTTCTGTAGACAGGAGGGTTGCTCTATACTCTGTCAGGTAATAAAGTCTTCTATGCCAATTATTGCCCCTGTGGTGTAAAAACAAAATACCCTATTGTAAAGGCAGAATCTCTTCTTGAAGAAAAATTAAGTTTTGGCTATACAGATCTCTGTAATGATATTGATCTATGTAGTATGGTAGGACATCAGTAGCTCTGTTCCGATCTCTGCTAATAGAATGTAATTTGTGGATGTATTTTAAGTAAGCCCTTTCCAGTCTCCCATTGGAATACTTTTGTTGAAGACCAACTTCTCTGAGATCAGTGGCAGGAGCATCTGGGGACAATAATATGCTATGCTGCTGTTTTTCACGCATTGCAATTTCCTATGTACAATTTCTTATTCATTTGTCATGTTTTCATTTGTGTTCATTGAATAGGTCATGTTTGTGCCTTGTGTAGGATGTGGAAAAGTGTTGTTGGCAGAGAATGGACTGTGCCATCTTAGAAGAAGAAGAAAAAGTAAATGGCTAACTCTGTTTTGGTTGTCTGTTTCAGGAACAGACTGGAGATACATCCTCACAAGAATCTGCAGAAGATGATTAGAAGACCACACTTTGCAATTTCTACCTCATCAGCAGTTGGGTCTTTTGAAGGGAGAAGACACTGCATTGACCACTTGCTTCTGTTGCCACAATCTTTCTACTTTGGCCTGGGTGGGGAGGGGAGGGGAGGGACATCTCATAACCTTAAAAAGGACTTATTAATCACCTTTGTTGTAATCCCTTCACGGTCCCGGCTTTAGTCAAAACTGCTGTAACAAGGGGGACACAGATTAATGGCGCAACATTTAATTACTGTTTTCTCTTATTTTTCTTTAACCTACTAATAGTTTTGTTTGAGCTGCTAAGTCAGGGCGAATGGGTCAGTAAATCTCTGAACCAGGTTTTAAGTCATTCACTGCACTGCGTATAAATAAGACTTTTGTAAAATATTAATTATCATGGGCATTCAAATAGAAAGGCCTTGGTGTTTGACACCAACCCTTACAACACCTCTGAAAACCCACTCCCTAGCTTAGTAAACTCCCTGTTTAGAACACCAAAGATAAGGAATAGATACTACTCTTTCATAGCCTTGTTCTAGTTTTGTGCCTGATTTTTTTTAATTACTATCATTTCAAGATATATTGAAGGCTGGTTATTTCTCCATCTTATTCAGTTGATATTCGGGAAACAAAAGCCACAAAAAAAGGGTACTTTGCCAAAAACAAAGAAAGAAAAAGGGAAAATGACAAAGATACATTGTATATTAACTAATACACATATATCTGCAGAAGTAGTACAAAATAGAACTCAACAGCTCACCTCTCTGGGAACAGATTCATATCCTCTCGGGTTAGAATATGCTTTCTAGAGAGCTTCTCGTTGTTTAGAAGTGACTAACATCAGATATTCTCTCCAGTTAGAGATTTAGAAACTAGCATTTGGATTCTTCCATGAACTTGATACCTCAGAATTATTCTATATCACAGTCATGCTGGAACCAAGGGAAAAAACTCAATTCTCAGTTTGACTTCACCGAATACTTTCAGACCATTTCATTGTTTCCAAAGGAGTGTCTCTCTCTCTCTTCTTCACTCACACATCTCAAAACAAGAGCCAACATGATGTACCTCAAGTGAGCTTGTGATAACATTTAAGCAATACATTTTAATATAGGATGGTTTTCTGGGCCGCTGGATCCCAGTGACAAGTCCCCAACATTTTCACTCAAAGCAGCACTTTTAACAACAAATGCAATATCCTCCACTTTTCAATACTACCTCTGATATTTACATGTAACTCAGCAGTCATATAAACATTTGCTGCTATAATCATACAATGCAGGAAATTATTATTGGGTAGGTAATCATTAATTGCTGCATTTTCCCCTTATTTCTATTTTTGTCACCTAATTACAGTTAAGGACACAATATCTTTAGTGTTTCCATCATAACTATGTATTTCTTTTTAAAAATGTACTATGCCTTTTCTCTGCTAAATTTCTATGTAATGTACCATTAACTTGAATATATTTTTGTACCGAATTGCTCATAAGGTTTGTAAGGATAATTTTTTTTCAGTGACACTACATAACTACAAAATAATTAACTGCAATGTTTAAATATTACTGTCCAAGTTTGTACCTCAGCTGAATTTTTTTAAAAAAAGAAATGGACTAGATGATTGACAAAGACCTACCTCCAGACTATAAATGGAATGAACTTGTTGTTTCTTTCAGCATTAATTTTTGAGAAGATTGAAACATTTCGGACTGCAAACAAACAAACAAAAAAGAATCCCTATTAAAACTATTTTTTATAAAAGATTTTTTTGTGAACACATGACTATGGTATTAAAAAGAACCTTTCAAAGAAACGTGAATCTTTGTAGGTGAGAGGCAACAAGCTCAGCTTTTTGCATAATGCAATCACAAATATTTGTGTGTGTTTAAAAAAAAATACTAGTAGATTGTGTGAGAATACTTGCCAAGTATTTTCATGTATTTTTCACAAATGTGATTTTTTTTTTGTAATATGTGGCAACCAGATTTATTTTAAATGATTCTTATGTACTCCGTCTCTTCTTCCCCTTTCCCTGCCTCCATCTCTCTGTCTCACACACGGTCAATATGTCTGCATCTTAACATTGTTTTACTGTATGGGTCAGGGGTAGTTTCTCAGGAATGCGTTCTTCCGTATGCCTTTTAGTACTTAGCCAGATTCAGCTACCGAAAAGTCCTTCCTGGCTGCTTCACAAGAAGGAATATGAAGATATGAGCACCTCCCCAAATAACAAGAATACCTCTTGTTGAGGATTGCTACAAAAATCATTAAGAGAAGTGCAACTTAGATGTCTTAATGTTACCTAACTTGTGAATAATTGTACTTCTGGGCTTTAGTCCTATCCATTCAAGACATTGCCCAGAACCCAAAGCACTGTTCCACTTCCATGTGGAAGACTGTTCAGGTACCCTATTCAGAGGTAGCCCCTGAATCTACCCCATCCCAAGCAGTCTGCAGGGCTCTCTAATACAGTGGCCCACTAAGCACAAGGGTAATACCCGATTAACAGATAGGTACACTGGGTCAGGACTCTTAAAATAATATAATACATTAAACCACAGAGTTTTAAGATTCATATGCCACACGCCAAGGCTCCAGTGCTCATTAAAACTCCACTCAGTAAGGGAGTTATGCCATTCTCGTCAGTTTTAGTGAGTATTCTGGATATGCATTAGGAAATCCTCCTGGTGTATGTGGGAATATTATCTGTCATTGAACTATAATTGTGCTACCCTTGTTTATATGGAGCTCCATGTGCTGGATCAGCTTAACAGCATGAAACAAATGTTGCTAGTTCATGTAGGTGAGACATCAACTCCAAGGGACTTTCAACTCAGATCAAATCCAATCTTGTACTTTCTGTATATTGTAGAACAATCAAAACACATTACTACCTCTCAGGGTCTTCTATACCTCATTTTTCAGGCTAAAAAAACTGGTTTGTGGCCATTGAAACAGAGAGAACATCATAAAATTTTTATATATATAGTTTATTTTTGTGGGAGATAAATTTTATAGGACTGTTCTTTGCTGTCATTGGTCACTGCTAAATAAGACTGGACACTAACTTCCCTGCCATTTCTGCAAGACAGATACGCTCGCAGAGGAAAGATATCAAAATGTATAACTGCAGTTTACTTTTTTCCTGTTTTCTTTGCCTGTATCCTAGCTCTTTGCTTTGTTATTCATATAGAGTTGCTGTCTATGATTGTACTTTGAATTGCTTGCTTGTTGAACATGTTTCTTTAATGGATTATCACCTTCTGTTCAGCGCGATAAACATAATAGCCTCTGTAACCCCCCATGTTATTTGATTCCTAGCATTTTGTCACAGCTCCATGAAATAAGCAATAAAGTTTGGTCCCAGTGGACCAAGTTTGTAAAAAAAATGAAATGCATACAAGTTATGTTTGTTAAATGAAGGGACATGGATAATTCATTAAAAAGGTAAGACGAGCATAACCCTAAGAGATATATGATGATGTTTAAGAAATATTAACGCCATTCTATACATCCACATCTTCAGCAATTTGAGTATCCCACCGGCTACTGTTACAAACACATTTTCAGGCTTAGCATGCTCAACATACCAGAGTGCAGACATACCTATCATATCATGATAGCTACACAACTCATGTCCTGTCATATAGAATTAGGTGTTCTATTTTTGTACACCTCTGTATGTCCATTGAAGATGCCAATTGGGGATTAAATCACCTAACCAATAATATGCAAAATGAATAGAGTGTATAGCATTTATATTTTGAAAAAAGAGTTAGATAAAATGCCCATAAAAATGACATTTAAAAAAACAGGAGTGAGAAATTGGTACAGAAAGCTGAAACTCATAGTTGGCTATATTTTTTTCCTTAGATCATGAGATAAATCTAACTGTTCCACAGAATATTTGCTGACAAACACAAAGATAATAATTGGATTGTCATTGGGAGGTTTGAAGCATTTATCATCGAGTATGGAATATTTTTAACCTGTCTGTTGTACATTTTATTTTTAACTTTGCCCATTGTATCCACTGAGGTTTGGTTCCAGGATGCCCGGTGGATATTCAGATCCATGGATGCTCAAGTCCCATCTATATGATGGTGTATTAAAATTGTGTCCAGAGTCGGATATGACTGGACTTATTGTCAGTGGAAAACCTTTACCTAAAATTGTATCTCACTTAAAATTAAGGTTTGCTCTTGGAATTTATTTTTCAAGCTTTGGATGGTGCAATCCATGAATACGGAAGGCTGACTGTAAACCTTGCCACAGAAATGAAAAGTTTATCAAAATGCAGTTTTAACCTAGTATCTGAAACTATCAATCAGAGATGCTGATGGAGGAGGTATCTCATCGCCGCCTGGGCCTCTTGCCGCCGCTTGGGTCCTGTGATGCCTCCACTGCCTCCTCAATCACTCCAGAAGTGGATAGTACTGGCAGAGAAGGCGCTGCTTCGGGAGCGATTGAGGAGGCGGCGGAGGTGGTGCGGGACCCAAGCGGCAGGAAGAGGCCCAGGCGACAACTATGAGGCGCCTCCTCCACTGCTTCTGGAGCAGCAGCCGTGGCACCTGGAGGAGGAAGGTAAAGATGGCAAGGAGAGAAGAAGAGCTGATTGGGTGAGTGAGAATGGGTGAGTGAGAGAGAGGCATCTCGTCGCCACCTGGGCCTCTTGCCGCTGGCGTTGTGGGGCCCAAGCAGAGGCAAGAGGCCCAGGCAGCAACGAGTTGCCCCTCTCCTCTCATTCACTCAATCAGCAGGAAGGGAGGAGCCAAGGAGGAGGAAGGTAAAGAGTGCGAGGAGGCTCAGCCTATGCTGCGACTGTCACTGCCAGATCTACATCCAGAGCACATTGACCTTCCTGCTCAGTGTTCCCTCGCTACTTGTACTGTATATTTTAAATTCATATTTTTTGAAAAACCATGAAACAGAGAGTCCGAGAAAAGCAAACTGCAAAGTAGCGATGGAACACTGTATACTTGTCAAGGTTGATAGGAGTTACAAGCCAAAAACACGTAAAGAACTAAGACATTCCAATCAGTTCTTATTCTATGCTTTTATGGGATAAGATCTCAGCTTGTAAAATGGTATCTTTGCTGTAATTAATTTGGCTTCCCATTTCCACTATTTTTGATTTTACATTTTTTCATTCTCTCTAAAATCTTGATGTTTTATTCTGTGATTATTTTGTTTGAGCCCTTCAGCCCTTGACATTTTTTGTAACATCTTGTATTTCACCCATTATTTTTATGTTAGAAAGTTCAAATCATTGTGATGCCTTCAGATTGCAGTCAGTCTGCACTATGCAATCTCTAGCACAGACAACGTTTTCATAGAAATCCACGGATTTTACATTCAAGTAAATGTGTTTAGGTTTAGGGTGGATTAATAATAAAATCTTGAAGTAGCTTTTGAGTTGAGTGGGCGATTGAATATAGCTGGAATCATTTTCCTTTCCTTTCCTTTCTTTTCCCTTCCCCTTTCCTTTCCTTAGAAAATAGGTACAATACAAATGTAGTTAATAGGAAGCCAATATTGTCCCTAACAAACACTATACTACATTTCCCAAATTCCAAAGGAAATATGTTTATGTAAGATTATATATATATATATATATTTCATTTTCTATGGAACACAGGAAACATTCACAATATTCTGTCTATCTGCTTTCCATTAACAACTTCAGAGTTGTTTCCAGTCATTTTCGTAATTATCCTTGACCTGGAAAAAGTGACCTTCCTTATGCTCGAAAAATTAAGGATCAGCATACATAAGCTTGCAGCAGGCGGATTTACTTTCTCAGTCCTCACCGCTCTAAATTATGGATGTGTTCAAGGTTCTGTATAAACCTCAGGGATCTATAACCCTGACAGTGTCTTGTCTTAAATAAACAAAGGCCATCAATAGCAGTGCCAAATGCACAAATCATTTCATTGCTGCATATATAACTGGACAGCAAAGACTTGAGAAGTGATATGTGTATGTATTCTGATGGAGACAAGTCTGACACTAGTAAGAAAATAAAAGAAATGTTCTAAAATATATACAATGCAAACTATTTATTGAGGAACATTTAGTAACAGGCACAGCTGGGAAATCAGCAGCCCTCCAAATGTTCTTGTACAATTCACTAAGTGGCAACCAACATGGCCAATGATGTAAGATGGTTCAACATGTTTTGGAAAGTTGTAAGATAAATTTCCAAAGGTCTGACATAAGATCTGGAGAACTGCAAGTTTCGCAGTCTTATGCTAGGTGGTGAACCTATGGCACAAAGTTGTGCGTGCTCCGCTCGCTCTAAAAGATTCACCATCACTGTCCTAGGCCATTCATCTGAATGTAGGTGTATATCTACATTGCTGAATTACTGTATTTCTTGAACTCTAAGATGTCGTCGATTGTAAGAGGCACACTAATTTTAGTATCACCAACAGGAAAATAATATTTACTTAGATATAAAAAACACACCCACGGTTTTTAGATGCACTCCATTTTTTAGAGATGGTTATATGGGGGGAAAGTACATTTAAGAATTGAAGCAATGCAGTAATGCAGTTTTCACACAACTTTAACTGTCATGGTTCAATGCTATGGAATCCTGGAATCTGTAGTTTGGTGAATCACCAGCACCCTTTGGCAGAGAAGTCTAAAGACTCTGTAAAACTATAGCTTCTATGATTACATAGCATTGATCCATGGCAGATAAAGTGGTGTCAAAACACATCAATTCCACAATGTTGATGCACGCTAAGAGTCCTGCTGTATTTAAGTCTTATTTAAAGCAGTATTCTGTTTCATATAATCTTATATACAATTATGAGCATCTCACATGATGATGTTTCCCCAACAATTTTATTGCAAATTTATGTAAAAACACAATATTCCAAACTTCTGCATCGTGAGATTTATTCTTAACATGCAAAGGGACAACTAGGCTGAGATTCTGAGAAGAAAATTTGGAAAGGGAAATATTCCAAACCAGCACTGTTTTACAAAAGCAGAACAGACTGGTTGTACTATAAATCTTGACCTCAACATTTAAACTTCAGCACTAAAATTTTAATTCCATGGGATCATAAGTACACATAGTCTGTGACATAACAAGCTCAAAATATGAAACCCCTTCATAGATGCTTTAAGCATTAGCCACATGTAAACTTTTTCCATTAAAAATATCATGTTTCTATACCTCACAGTCATAAAAAATAATTTCAAAAGGTTTACTTGATAGCAGACTTCTTAATAGACTTTGGAAATATGTGGAAAACCTCCAACATAAAAGTAGTTAATTGACAGGTTACTGTGCTGGTCTTTGAAAGATCCGTTTCAAATAGAATGTGTAAGAAGATACAATGCCATCACATTAGCCTTCTATAAGAATGCATTATGATATGGCTTTGGTTGACATTTTGACCTTTTTGAACAACATATTAATATGCATGCAAACAAAAAAAACCAATGAAAACTCACAGAATTGATTCTTCAGATTGGTTTATCCCGAATAATCCTACTGAATTTGATAAAATCAGATTGTCGTATACATCTATTTCATCCAAGGATCAATAATTATTGTTTGTTTTCTCCTTCCCATAGGATAAATTGTATTTACACAGTATTTTTCCTATAGTGTCACAAATTTCAAGCATTTGGGGAAATTAGGAAAACACAACAATTTTTTGACCCTAAATTGATATCCCTTAGATGAATGCACTTGAGGGTTACAAGATATGAGAACCAGATTGGAATGTATGATACAACAGCAAGATGAGAGGAAAGGATACCCATTTTGTATTTCTTTATATCGTTTAATGGGCTTAGAAAGGAGGGGGAAATATATGTTGTTACAAACAAGGAGAAGTAAACCATTACTTTTTCAGTTGTAACAAATGAATATGCCATTGTAACATGGACTACAGGTGTCCTAATTTACAATCAACTTGAAAAATCTTATCTCCATGCTGTGCTAAGGAAACAGACAATTCTCTCACAGGCAGAGCCCATATCCATTACAATGTGTTACTTTCAAAATATTTTAGAGCTCTCTGTATTCCACCTTTGATCATCAATCTTCCAATTGTGCCTTTGTTCAGGTGAATTTCCAGAGAACACATATTAGTAAATAAAAAAAACCTTTGCAAGTAAATCAGCTTCCTAAAACAAAGCACAGAATTTGGGAGAACATCAGAATTATACATAGTTAAAATTGTCCCATGTGGAGGAAAGTAAGAAGGTATTTAATTAAAGGTATTTGTAGGAGTAGAAGAGGGGGGAGGGAAAGAAGAAGAAGAGGCAGAAGAAAAAGAGGAGTAAGATGAAGAAGAAGAAGAGGAGGGGGAGGAGGAGGAGGCCTAAACCAGAAGTGCTTAATAGCTCCATTTTGACTCATTTCAAGCA